GCAGAGCGCTGTGCTTAGAGGGGAGAAGCTGGCCCTGGTGGCACACCTGTGATCCCAGCACTCGGGAGGCCAAGGCAGGAGGGTCGCCATAAGTCCTTGAGTTCAAGGTCACCCTGGACCACACAGTAAGACCTTGGCTCAAAAAAAAGTTAATTTGAGCACACGCACACGCACATGCGCACACACAGAAGCTATGTCACGTGGAGGCAGAAATGAGAGGGGCATCAGTCAGAGCCCAGGGACACGGAGACTTGCCCGAGGCACCAGGTGCAGGGAAGAATCCTCCCCAGAGCCTTGCAGCAGTGTGGTTTCCAGTCTCTGCACTGAACGTCAGGGTGGGGACCAGCTGCCACCCTCTGCACCCTGGGTGTGCTTCGGCGCCTGCTCCCTCCCCCATGGCAGTTGCTCTGATTTCTGTCTCTGACTTTTCCTATTCCCCAGGGGATTTTTTTTATTTGGCTTGGTTTTGGTTTTGGTTTTGGTTTTGATTCTGGGAGATAGGGTCTTGCTATGTAGTTCAGACCTGCCTTGAATTCATATGTGCCCGGGCTTGTGGCAACCTTCCTGCCTCAGCCTCCCACATGCCGAGGTCACAGGTGTGCCGTCCACCCAGACCTCTAGAGCTTTTGACTCCATAGCTTTGGGGAACAGAGTGTGCCTTCCCAACAGGTTTCCAGCAACACTGATGCTGCCCAGTGCCCCTGTCCCCCACTATGTTAGAGGAGTCACCACCACATCAACCCTGGCTCCTCCACCTTGTGACTCTACAAATGTGAGCTGGCTGTGCATGGTGGCACACGCCTGTAATCCCAGAGCTGGAGGCTGAGGCAAGACTGCTGCAAGTTGAAGGCTAACCCGGGCTACATAGCAAGACTTTGTCTCAAGCAAAACAACAACAACAACAACAAAAAGTGCAAGCCGGAGTCACCCACAGACTCCACAGCTGGCGCCAGAGGAGGGACCTTCCCCATCTGTCCCTTGGCAGGGTGGCCACTCCCAGGACTGCAGGACAAACACTCGTCTCACCTAACACTAAATCCCCAGTGTGCATGAAGAACCATCCTCATGTCACATTCAATGACTAACTCATTTCTGCCCCTTGAGGGCCCAGGGTCCCCTCCACGCAAACACCTCCCCCTACTGCTGTCCACAGCAGGGCCCACTGTGCGCTCTGGGCCTGCTCTCCTCCCAGCACATGAAGCATCTCACCTCAGGCCCTGCGGGCAGTAGCTAGATGCAGGGTCAAAAGGATGAGTGGGAAGGGAACAGGCATGCCCTGTGGGACAGTGACCTCGGGCGGGCCCTGCAGACAGAGGACAAGGACCTGCCGCCCGCCTGGACAGGGCTCTGTGGAACAGGGAGCTCAGAGACGCCATAATACAGAAGCGTGTGCAGTTGGGACACAGGTCCCAGGCCTCGTCCCATCTTGCTGGGTCTCAATCACACAGTGTCCCGCCTGTCCTTGTCTCCAGCCTCCAGGTCTCTCCTCCAAGCCCCACCCTGCATGGCCACAATGTGGTTAGGATATGGCCGCACTTCCTCAGTCCCTGGACCTGCCCTGCCCACAACCCCACTTGTCACTCACTGCCACCAGACCTCAGGACTCCAGCCTTCCCAGCTCTGTGGCCTTTCTGTTCCTGTTTCTTTCCTTTTTCAGAGCCCTCAAGGTGGAGACCTGCACTTTCTACCAGACAGCACTTTAATTTCTTCTGGTCATGGAGTCTCCCGTAAACCTGGAGGACCCAGGCCTGCTAGCCGCTGTTCACTCTGGTGCTCCCTGAGCGGGGCTGACAGCCTGTAGTTGGCATCTCGCTCCTTTCCTTTCCTTTCC